AGAACTCACTCTTAGCTACCTTTGTGAGAATCCCAAGTTGGGTTTTTGTCCTGAGAAAGAGTTTCCTGGGAAAACCCTGTTGGAAAAAGTTACTAGTTACAAAGGGAAAGAAGTTGTTGATTCTGAGATTTCAAATCAAGATGAGAAATGGGTTGAAAGAGATTTCTTGAATTTGAGTGAAAGTAAAGGAATTTCTTCAAAAAGAGAGGTGGAGGAAGATTTTCAAGAAAGAGAGAATAGAAATAAGGAGAAAAGGCCAAAGCTTGAAACTTTGAATCTGTCTCTAGCTTTACCTGATGTGTCTCTCTCTTTAACTGCATCAAATGCTTTGCAAAATGGAGATCCTCCACGACATAGGTCAAGGCCTAGTAGGAGTGTACAGTCTTTGGCACCATCAATCAATAACACACAAACCACATGTTCTAATGATTTCACTGCTGCTTCATTGTCATACTCTTATTCTCTGCCGTTTTCACACAATCCTAGCTGCTCGTTAACACGAAATTCAACGGAGAATTATGAATATTCTGTGGGGAAAGATGATCAAATTTGGTGTGGTGGTGAGGGTACTAATGGATCCGTGCATAGTCGGTTTAGGCCAATTGGTGATGGAGTTGCTTTGGCCAATCTTGGTGGTGCTGGTGCTGGTGCTGGTGGGGTGTTTTCCATGATGCAGGTTAATCGTCAAGTGAATAAGGAATCGTGCAATAGTCTTCATAGAACTACTAGTTCAGACAATCATTCCTTTTTCCCATCTGAATTGCCTGCTAAGCCACATGTAGATAATCATTCAGGGGATTCCAGGAAGAGGGATTCAGAGAATTTGAGAGTTTTGGAGAGTATGTATGGAGGGAGATCCCGAAAGATTTCTAGACCGGAGAGAATTCTTCGTGAGCTTGTGTCAGAGTCGATTCCTGCCATGGCTCAAACAATGCAGGAGCTGCCCGATGAAACGCTTGAATTGACCAAAGAATACTTGAGGAATCTTATATCAATGCCAGAGAAGAAGGAAGAACTAGTGGGACTTCAAAACCGGCTTGAAAGGAGATCTGATCTTACCAAGGAGACTCTCTTAAAGTGCCAGAAAGACCAGCTAGAAATTTTAGTTGCAGTGAAAATGGGGCTTAAAAGCTTCTTGTCTGTAAAAATTCCGGTTCCCACGATAGAGCTGCTGGAGATTTTCTTGTTTATGAGATGTAGGAATCTGAATTGCAGGGGTTTCCTGCCGGTTGATGACTGTGATTGTAAGATGTGCTCAGGGAATAAGGGGTTTTGCAGTTCTTGTATGTGCCCTATCTGTTTGAATTTTGATTGTGCTAGCAATACTTGCAGTTGGGTTGGTTGTGATGTTTGTTCCCATTGGTGCCATGCTGCCTGTGGTATTCAGAGGAATCTTATCAAGCCAGGTCCTAGCTTAAAGGGACCAGCTGGTACTACGGAAATGCAATTTCACTGCATAGGATGTGGTCATCCTTCAGAAATGTTTGGGTTTGTTAAGGATGTGTTTTTATGCTTTGCAAAGGACTGGGGTCCAGAGACACTGACAAAGGAGCTTGATTGTGTGAGGAAGATTTTCAGGGGCAGTGATGATGCAAAGGGCAAGGACCTGCACATCAAAGCTGATGAGCTGTGCAACCGGCTCCAAAATAAAAGGATGTCTGCTTCAGATGCATGCAGCATCATTATTCAGTTCTTCAACTGTAAGTATCTTTTGTTCTGTCTATTATTCTGTCGAACTTATCATCATTATAAAGCACATCAAACTAATTTCATGGAAAGCTGATATATTGCATCTCAATAATTGTTCTCCTAGTTTCTTCTGGGTAGCTTTGTTGTTTCATGCATATATCTAGGTGTCAAATAGGAGATGATTGAGATTTAGTTTCTCTTGGTCCTTATATATCCTGCTGGAGATAATAATTTGTTACTGACTGCAGCTCTTCCTTTTCCATGCCTATTACTAACTAGGTAAACTAAATATATTTCAGCTATTGAGCTAATTGTTTTCTATAAGCTGAGGAAACTCAAAAGTCTGCCTCTCATGTAACTGAGCCTTAAGTCATCCGAAATTTGAGATTACTAAAATGATTCTGGAACTTCACTAACATAATTCCTGGTTATAAAATTGTAAATTAAAAGTGTTGCCTCCAGGTTCTTCCTGATGGTAGGTTTTTCTTATCAGAAAATATGCAGCTAGAGCTGTTTAGGCTTTTCCACGTTTTTGTGTGTAAAAGCAAAAAGACCCCAAATAAATTGAAACTGCCCTCTAAAGAATTATTTCCTTCCTGAAAGATTGGATATTTGTTTGAAAATGGTTCATGTGTGTGATTTTGGTTTATAAGTTGGCCTCATTTGTGATGTACAACATGATTTTGCTTGATTCATCTAGTTTGGTTTCATGCAGAGAGAAGAGTACCAGAAAGGAGTTAAATTCTCGTGGTTCTTGCACTTGACTTTTCTGTATAACCTCTGTAAATTTGTGCAAGACTAGGGTTTACTCATTCTTTATATTGTTTTCTTGTGCAGTCTAATAGGAAATTGGCTCAATTCTAAGATAGATATTGAAAAAAATAGTGATTACCTTTTTGAGATGCAAAATTCTTCTTAAAGTGAATGAGAAAGTACAACTAGTTGAATCTGATAATTAAGGGATTTTGATGATTGAGTGAACTGATTAGTGAAACAGAGTGCATATGCTATGATAAGGATGCCTTCTTTAGATTTTTCTTTGATTATGGCTCCCTACAACTCAGATTTCACAATTCAGCTTTCATTCGGACCATACCTGAATTAGATGAATAAGCTAGCCCGTTGTTTATAGTTTTGGCACATGTCATATTTAGTCTTGATTATGGTTTGCTGTTTCCTTCAAACTTATGTTCTTGTTCTTGAAACATCTATCATAGGAGACGTCTCCACCATGCATTGTCCCTTAATTGAGCTAGTTATGTTGCTGATTATTCCTGTAATTTTATTTGAATGCATCTCTCAATTTATGGTATTCTTGTCTTAACTTCTTCTTTCTCTTTTTCTTTTGCCTTTTCGACCTGGACAAATAGACACTGATGATTTGTCAGACTTTCCTGCTTCTGGTGTATGTTCCAAAGACTTAACAACAACTCAAGTTGACCTTCGAAAAGATGAATTGTCCGTCACACCAGCTACTTCTCTTCCTCCAAAGCTTGTGTTTAACGGAACAAGCTCTTCAAGTGGATGTGACTTACTTCCGAATGACCTCTGTAGGAAAGATCTCAAACATGTTATTATGAATGACCTAAAAAGTGAAGGTGAATACAGATTTGGCAGGTTATCAAACAATGCTGGATTTGACAGCTTAGAAAGCATGGTAAGGATTAAGGAAGCAGAAGCAATAATGTTTCAAAGCAAGGCAGATGAAGCACGGAGAGAGGCTGAGAGTTGCATGAAAATGATTCGGGCCAAGTCTGAAGAGTTGGATGTAGAGTATGCTGAGAAGCTATCCAAACTTTGTTTGCAGGAGACCGAGGAAAAACGTAGGAAGAACGTGGAAGAACTAAAGGTTCTGGAACACTCACACTGTGACTACTACAAAATGAAACTAAGAATGCAGGCCGAGATTGCCAGTTTATTGGAGAGAATGGAAACCACAAAGCAGCAATGGGTTTAACAATTTTCTTTTCTAATTTTTGGTTAACAACTAAGGTTAGCTTGTGTAGTTTGTTTGAAGTTTTTAACCTTCTGGATTGGATTCTGCTTGTTTCTTAAAATGGAAAATGAAATGAATGTCGTTCTCTGTTGTCATCCTTAACGGCATTTCTTAATGATAAATTTCAGCTAGTAAAATTTCTCTCTGATGTCTATTGCTCTTGAGGTCTGTATGAACTTGAAATATAGCTGTCCTCAGTTAAGTGAAATCTTACACAGTAATGTCCAAAAAAAAAAAATACAATGGTTTGTAATCTATCACAATTCAGAATTATATGAGATCAATACGTAGTCGCATTCGTAAGTGTTGAATTTCAAGTTTCATACTCGAATAAGGTTTAGACATGTAGCGAAGTTTTGAAGAACATGATTGCCAAATATAAAAAATTTTATGCTTGTTGCTATCATGACATAGATTCGATCAAGTTAGGTGTGGCAAAAGAAATTGTTCCCCATATCTGCTATATAATATTTAGAAATTTTTTATTGGGAGAGTTGAAATTGTTGTCCAGAAATTTTCTATGGGAGAATAAAGGAGAACATGGTAATGCGCCACGAACGATCATGGCCACAAATTATATATTCTTTGGGAACATTGAAAATTTGAATTGCCAATGCCAAAGATCACGGGTTCTTTGTAGTTTGTACAACTGGTTTTCCCATGTGGGGTTTCACTTTGACATTTGTTAATTAAAAAGAGTTTGATATGATAAATTAATTTAATATGATACAAATGAACACATAATTGATTTCTTAGTCACGAGAATGATCTTTTAATATTATATATTCTTTACGAAAGAAAAAAATTTATATGAAATTTTATAAGTAAAATTTATGAAATTTTTTATTAGAAATAAATAAATAAAAATTGAAATTGAAACTTAAAATTGATAGATTAAACATGTAAAATTTGAAAATATTTAAAATTTTTTAATATATTTATTAAATAAATATTTTTAATAAAAATATTGATAAACTTTTATCGTTGAAAAGTATCGATTAAATTTAAATTATAAATAATATTTTTAATAAATTTTTTATATATTATTAATTTTTATATTAAATTTTATCAATTTACCGATTTAAATTTTTTATTAAAATCTTTATTTACTTATTTTTAATAAAAAATTTAACAAATTTCATCTATAAAACTTCGCGTGAAATACTAATAAGTATTGTTCACTGTTAAGCAAAGAAGGGATTCCTCGTCATTTAAAAAGAAAAAATAAAAGAATTCAACTTTCTTTTAAATTTAAATAGATTATTATGTACAATTCAATTGTATAATTGAAATGAGTGTTAATAAATTACAATATATGAATAACAATATCAATCCAGTATAAATTCACTCAAAAAAAAGAAGAAAAAAAAAAGGGAAAATCACACACATTAGAAAAAAACAAGGTGTTTAAAATTATTATCAGGCATATCGGGCAAGGGCAACACTGAGATCAACAAATATGCCAAACAAGAGGATAGATAATCCCAGGAAATTGAGCAAACGAGCTTCACGGCTATGGCGCAGGCCCATGAAAGTAGCCTTCTCCATCAAGCCAGTGAGCGCTGCAGCTATCGACATGTATAGCAATATCCTGCCACCACAAACGTGCCATGGAAGTAGGGTTTTCCTTGTCTTCTCTGTTTGTGGAAACAAATATGTGAACAGTCCTGCTATCCACTGCAACAGCAAGTTTTTGAATCACATTAAAATAATTTCAGCTTGATTTTCGTAGGAAAGTTATGGAATTTTTTTTTTTTACCTGCAATGCAAACAAGGAAATAGTGGCAATGCCAATCCATGAATGCAAACTGTAAACATCTTCTATTTTGGCCATATCATGGAACTTGAAAACTGCACAGATCCCAACCACCCCAAGCACAAATGCTGCAAGCTGAAGTATCAAATGAACTACCTTCTGCACAAAATGTTGTGCTTGTACTGTCTTGTACACCATCATTGCTGCATGTTTTTAACCCCACAAAGTAAAACTTGTTCATCAGAAAAAAAGATCATGTTCAAAATCAAAGCTAAGAAAAATGTTTAAAAATTTGATTGCTACTTCATTAATTCCCAATCTAATCAATTTCCAATACCTTCACCAGATAGAAAAATGAATCCACAGAACATAAGAAATGGGTGAACCTGCCATTAACGTTAAAACATGTATTAACATAAGATTGAAATAAATCATAATTAATGACATGAAATCATACATAGTTTTGTTTTCTTACGTTAAAAACACGAGAACCATCATAAGAATCATATTCAATACCGCCACGATAATGCAGCAACCAAAACAGCATGAGGATGAAAGCCAAGATCCCAAACAATTGAGCCAATATTGTTAGACGAGAGGCTGAACCTCGGTGAGGTCCGTATACTACTACCTGGGTGGAATGCATGGTGACAATGACAGAACAAAGGAAGAGGTTTGCACTTAAATATATAAAATCACATTAATTGTGTTAGGCTGATCGGTTTCTTTTATCACAGAAAAACTTTTTCGAAAAGAACAAAGGAAGGAATTTAGACACTTTGGATTGCTTATTGGTTGGTTTTGGTACTTCCGTGTGGGAAAACTTTGAGCTTTGGCAAAGCATCATCATTATATACCTACTAGAAGAGTTACTACTTCTTAATGGCATGAAAGACTAGGCAAACATAGGACGTGTTTGTAGTTGTGTATGTATATATACCAGAAGAGTTGGGCAGGCTCTCTCGTCCAAGTAAAGGAAATGGAATAAGTATATGAACAATTTCTGCGATGGGCATGTTCTGACATAGGCCTTAGACATTGATTTCTTGGGCTATCTTCAATTTGTTCTGATGCAACAGGCCAGAGTTGGCCAAATTCCAGGATTCATTTTGTAAAGCTAATTATCATTCACCATGTTTATTATTCAAATTTTAACGTTTGATTTTTTTTATTTTCCAGCTTTGACCTTTTGTATAAAACAAATATATTCAGATTATTTCTTCATTGATGACTAAGGCTGATGATGATTAATTTATTTCAGATTTTACAATCCAATTTCCCAACTCTATCCCAGTCCCAGAAATTAATGAATTAGCTTTCTAACAACTTAGTCCATGAAAAGCCCAAAGTATATGGGCCGAAGTGCTCCGCCTTTGGTTCAAGAGAGAATTTTAATCATGAAGAATTTCCAGCCAGTTTTTTCAAGAGTTAATGAATTTCTCAAAGTAGAAAAATTTGATCATGGGAATATGACTAATCAATCTTTTACTTACATGAGAGGTCCAACTTGAACCAGATGGGTATGGTTGGATTGAATGTTTTGACAATGTTTCCTAGTCCTGAAAAAGCTTGTTCTGCAATAATGTTCCTATTCATTGTAACAAACCCTACTCAAGGTACCACTCACCAGCCTTGCAGCAGCAAATATCCATATAGCTCATTCTTGGCTAACAACGAAAAGCCTGCTGCCATTTCCACTATTCCCAAAGACTCCTTCACAGAAAAGGAAAATCAATGATTCTATAACTATGAGTTTTCACGCATTTGGCTCGACATTCAGGACCACCCAAAAGCTTCAAACTATACTTCATTTCTGAGAGTTGAAATCCCAACAGTTTATTCAAATTTCATTTTCTTCCTATTATATTTCCATGCTTATTTCCTGCTCTATCAATATGTCCCACAATCCATTCCTTTCCCTTTGTCTATTTCAAGTGAAAGATATGGAAAAAAGTAATGGGGTTTGCTATCAATGATGCAAGCATTGGACGATGAGGCTCTCTCTCCCAAAATCATTACTTGAAATTTTTTTTTTAATTATGGGATTACCAAAGGAAATCATCACAGTACATGGTGGTTGTCAGATGAGCATTTCTTTTTTTAGCTTTCAGGTACATAATCACTTCATGAAGACAATGTTTACATTTTCTTCATTTTCTTTCTATTTTTGGCCCCTCTTTTTTTATGAAATTTCCCCCCTAGATTTCTACTTTATTGTTCATTCCAACTAAAATTATAAAATTCATTTTTTTAGTTAATCAATTTACATAGGGAGAGTGTTATCTTGCAAAGCAAACTTGCTCTTGATTTTATGCTCAATTTCTTTCATTTGTTTGCATGCTTTGATTCATGGAAAATCGTCTAAACTTAGACTTTAATAATTTGGTCAACATTTTAAATTTAAAAATCTAGTTAAATTGATTCCTGTTCTTATTTTTTAAAAAGTAATTTTAAAAAATTTTTTGATTTCGAATCTTAATACTCACAATTTTTTTTTAGTTTATATTACAATTTCATTTGTTAAAAAAAAAAAACTAGATTTTAAGAACCTCATTTTGTCATGCAAGTAAACGACCCATACCTGTGACCCCAACAAATGGTGATCTCTTTGCCTTTACAATATTCTACATATTTTGAGCAATATATGTGACATCTAGAAATCTTATAAAAAGCAGAAATTTTCCACCTTACCAAATAATTATGGGATTTGTGTAGTCTTTTCAAGGTGGGTGATTAGTTTTTGTCAACCATCACTTGCTATATCTTCAAATAAATCTCAATTATCATCCAACTCAATTTTGTCCATTGCTAACCTGGCCATTTAATTTTCCTTCATCTCCATATAAAGAGCAAAAGAAAATCATGTCTCTTTTGAAATTATATATCTCATTTTTGCTTGATCATGACATGTTCTAGTTTTAGAAGAAAAGATTCAATTATGGGAGAAATTGGTGTCATCCATTTAGCAACCCATTCCCTATCTCCATTATGTGTGAAGCTGACCTAACAATATATTAATTAAACCCTTGGTGGCATGTAATTTATGGAACTCTTGAATTTTTTCTAGATTTGACAATTTGCATCATCTAATTATATAAAATATTGTATTCATGTTGTATTTTATATAAAAATCACGTGTCATTATTTATATTAATACAAAAATATAAAATATAATTTTTTGATTTTATTAAATTTATTTATAATTTTTTAAAATTTTAAGTTATATTATCTTTATATTTTTATTCATATTATTTTTGTAAGTATCGTATTTTAAATTATCAAGTCTATTTTTTGAATTATGTTGAATTCTTGGCCCCTCTCTTTGGGCTTAACTCATGAAAAAAATGAGCAAGGCTAGATGATTTGGAACATACCTAAATATCTTATTCATGTCACACACAAAATACCCATCCAAAAATATTAAGATTTATACCTTCAAAATTTAGATTCATACATTTTCTATCATCGTGTTTAAAATTTTTGGCATCTTTGCCCCACATTGGACATGCCATGCCATTCCAAGATGATTTGACCAATTGATTTTTTATCATTTTTTTTCATCTCTTTGATGATGTGTACGAGTTTGTGATTGAATTAGATTCTTGCGCACAAATAACACATCAATCAATTCTAAGTTTTGTTTGGTCATGTTGTGATTGAATTAGACTCTTTTCCACATAAATTAATCACAACTCAATTGTAATGAAATTTTTTATTTTAAATTTCAGATATGTTAAATATTATCTCTTAACGATAGTTTATAAATCAATTAAATTAAGCTTTGAATTTAAATTAAATTTTCAATTTTTTTTATTATTATTTTTTGAATTTTATGAAAGATGAGGATATATAGAAGAATATGCAGTATGGTGTGCATGATGAAAGAAACAAGAGAATAAGCAAATGATGGGGAGCTGTGCAATCATGGGATAAGACCAAATACCTAACACTCCCCATCACATATTTTCGCACTCAGATCAAATGCATTTGATTCAGCCCCATTCTCAAAGCCTAACAATCAATCAAGTTGCCAACCTCTCTTCCTATTTCCAACACTATTTGATGTGCGGGGGGACCCCAATTCTCCTCCAATTTGTTCACTTCCCGTATATTCGACCCTTTTGAATCAGTTATATAAGGTGGTCATACTCTCCATATTCTATGTTATCTATATACATTGGCGGATCAAAGTTTTTTTTGAAAATATCCATATATTATAGTGAATAGAGGTGAGAAAAAAATTTAAAATTAGTTTGAAATTGTATTATTCGATTTTAATTGATTTTTTTATTCGGTTAAAATTAAATTTAGATATTAAATATATATTAGGTTTGAATTAAATTTTAGATCAAAAAATAAAAGTAAAAAAAATAAATTGAATTAAATTATATATTTTTATTAAAATTTATTTATATTTTAAAATTTTGATAAATAAAAATAATTATTTCATTTATAAATCTATATAAATAAATTAAAAATTATATTAAAGTAATATATAAAAATAAAAAATTAAATTTCAAAATTTGATGCATCAAATTAAATTGAACTAATAAAATTTGATTAAGATCAAATCAATTTAAACAAAAAATCATTTTAGATTTTGATCAAATTTTAAAATTTTATTATATTATACATTATTAAAAAAATAAATCAAAATTTAATTCAATTCGAATTATTATTAATCATAATAACAAATATCTGCTAGGTACTATATATCGGCTTAGAGTAGTTTGCAATTGCATATTAAATAGTGATTATAAGTGGAATGATTAAAAAAAATTAAAAATATATATATTTAGAATAAAATTTTAAAATTATTGAAAATAAATTCAAAATTTTTTATTTTCAAAATTTTAAAAATATCTATAAATACAATACTTTTACATTTTTTTTTTTGATAAATCATACCTTTACATTTACATCCACCACTATCTGTCTATTTATCTAACGCCCTCAATTTCTCAAAAGAACCTTGTCGTATCCCAAAATTTGAAGTCCCCATTGTCCCAAACCGCCCCATTTGTCAATTCCTGCCAGAAAATCAAGACAATCCTCATACTTTTTGTTTGTGAATTTGCTGCAAATTACTCAATATATGACAACGATGATAATTGGGTACCCACTCTCCACCTCTTTTCTTTTTCTCTTCTTTTTATAGGGGACCATGTTTTGGCCAATCTCATGCACCACTTTTTCTAGTGTGTCCTTTTATTGTTCATCCTCAAATGTGATACGATATGCTTGGTTAAAACAATTGCTATTTGTCCAATTAAACATGTTTAAAAATGGAATTATCCGTTCCAGTTTGAAAGTTTGTTTAAATTTTGAGAATGGTTTGATGAAAAATTAAAACCTATTAAATGAATTTGAATATAATTTTTAGATCTATTTAAATTTTGGATTGAATCTTAAACAAAAAATTTAAAATCTGAATATGATCTAATCTAATCCAAAATCACATATATAAATTAATTCACGCATATATAAAAATTAAAAATAAAAATTTTGTATATTTTATTAAAACTCATTCCCACCCAACCCATAAATACCTCAACATACAATGAGACGATCATATGAATCTTGATATAAAAGCAATGGAGAATCGAATAATCAAAATCATCCATATGCATGTGTTATGGGTGAGAGGGAGAGATT